TATTCGTAATAAATCTACCATTACCAATTTATGCGCATTTGGTAACTTTGTTACGAATTGAATAAAAAATGGCTATCAAATAGACGTTATATACACAGACTTGGCCAAGGGATTCGACAGAATTAACCGCGAGGTTTTCTGTTTAAAATCTGTTTAAAATCTGTTTTTCGGTTAACCAGCTGTCGCACCCCTACGAACGACAACCCTCAGAAGTCGAAACTTGTGCGAGCTAAGGATTAACGAGGTCTTACCTTTCAACGTGTGGTTCCTAACACGAATAAATCGAATAAATATTTTTGATGAACTTACCAAATTCAAAGCTCCTTCCCTGTCAGAATCCATGGAATTTTCATCGTTTGGATGAGGGTTGTGGTCACTGATGATGCTGTGCTCATCTCCGCTAATGTCTCCATTAACCTCGTCATCTGTAAAAAAACAAAGACATGAAGTATCTGTTTCTGTCAACAATGAGATGCCTCAAGGAAGACTTCTTGAAAGTAGAGTACCACAAGGTTCGGTATTGGGGCCTCTGCTCCCCATTATATCCATTAAGGATCTGTTTTTGTGATAAAATATAAAAATATGAAAATATCGTTGTTTATAGGTTACGTTAGTCAATGAAATGAAGTTGAAATTTGCCTAAATATAAATATATACATAGATTAACCCACGCATTCAACACTTTTCATACAAATATATACGTGAAGATATAAATATTAATTTCTATTCAAAGAATATTTTCCGTCGCTCTCAACAATGTCCAATATACAGGGCTTTTCATGATGAGCGTTAATTAGCCGTTTCTGACAAACTATTCAACGGATCAACCTGAAAATTTCACAGTATGCATAAATCAATATGACCACGTATAAAATATTTCAGATGGAGCGTCGTTGTCGCTTCTACTATAAAGTAGCGGCTTCTTTGGTTTTCCAAATGGAACACCCCGTATATAATATCATATTATGATTCATTATCACTTGGTCAACAAATTCATATACTATTTCCCTATACCTATCTATTACCGTTTAGAAGATATAAATTAATTTCGATATTTTTTTTACCAAACATGAACTTTTATAAATGCTGATAATCTTGAACTCTCT